AGTACCAGAAAACGCCTGGAGAAAAATGCCAAATTTGTCACTGATTGAGTTTCAGACTCGAATTCGGGCTTCCTTTTTCAGTTCGAATTTTTTTCTCGAAATGAATGAAAGATCCGATTAGAAAGTGAAAAGCACATATGATAGAACCGAATTATTATAAATGGAGCTCACGGAATCATCAAAATAGTGAAAGGATTTCCGATAGGAAGCCCGAGTAGTATCGGATTTCAGATTCACTATGGCTTTCACATTCAGCTTCAGAATTGTGCTCAGGCTTCCTTAGATAAATTACCAAAATTCGGAAACTCGAAATCACTGAAATATACCATTACAAAGTGAAAAACACATATGATACAATCGAATTATGACAAATAGACCTCATTGAATCATARAAATAGTGAAAAAAATCTGTTCATAAAGGACATCGATTTGGACGGTCACAACTTTTGCCCGCAACCATCGCATGCGACCCTTCCCAAAATTCGGAAACTCGAAATCACTGAAATATACCATTACAAAGTGAAAAACACATATGATACAATCGAATTATGACAAATAGACCTCATTGAATCATARAAATAGTGAAAAAAATCTGTTCATAAAGGACATCGATTTGGACGGTCACAMCTTTTGCCCGCAACCATCGCATGCGACCCGGGCAAGTAATTCTTACAACATGAGGTCTAGAACGATGCTGTAYATCATAATTCGATTGTATCATATGTGTTTTTCACTTTCTAATAGGATATTTCAGTGATTTCGAGTTTTCGAATTTTGGGAATTTCCGTAAGGAAGCCCGAGCACCAATCTCAAACTCAATGTAAAAGCCATAGTGAATCTGAAATCCGATACTACTCTGACATCSTATCGCTTTTTTGATGATTCAATGGGGTTTATTTGTCATAATTCGATTCTATCATATGTGCTTTTCACTTTCTAATGGGATGTTTAATTTATTTTCATTAGAATGCATCAGTCTAGGTATCATAAGAACGCGCATGTGCAGATCGCTTGGTGCTTCGAGTAGAATGCTTTCGAAACTAAATCAATGGCCTTTTTAGCGTTAGGCAGTGTTGTGTGGGCAAAGATTTCAAATTAGAACAAGAAGAAACATTTTTTATCAATAAAAAAGGGCGAGTTTAATGATTTTATAGGTATCATTTACTTTGTAAGGTATTTTCTTGGCCTGAGAGGTCAACGTTATCACTTAGCGTCACGTCTACATAGCACGTTTGATTTTATCAGTGAAAGCAAGGACTCTTTTAAAACGTTCATTGCTATATTAATTACATGACCTTTTAGGTCAAGTTTATTTTAGTCTCAAAGAGAGTTTGGATATTTTGAACTAGACGCTCTTATTAGGCCGTGAGAAATTAAGAAATATATATTTTAATCTAATTTTTATATTTTATGTAATATCCTCCTGTCTTTCTCAAGCTTCATTTGCATTCATAATATAATCATATGATTAAAGAGAATATAACATCATAATCTTTTCACTCGTGTCTATCAATTTTCAAAAATAGCTAGTCCGACTTCACGCCCCAGGGGCGTCTAGTATAAATTTAATATCTAATTGGGGTGGTCTATTCGGTGAAGTTCTATGCTAATATATGACGTCACCAAAATCCTTAGGGATCAGCGAGCCAATAAGAGCTCAGCTCGGAAATTAGCAAACGATACAGGGTTTGCATAATCATTCTTCAGTTGATTTATTATTTGATGGGGGTAGGGATGGGTGCTGAGTGCTGGTTTGCCACCGAATACCGATGTTCGATGTAATATGGCGGCTTCCACCAAGCTTTTCAATTGTAGTTATTGTTTTCCAAATCATGACAGGAAAATAAGGTGTACAGCTCTTATATCGGACAAACATTATTAGTATTCGGATAAAGGCCACGGCACAAAAATTTTTAAACTGTTTAAACTAAGTGGTTTACAAACCAGTTGTGGAGGGCCTCACCTTTAGACCGCTACGCTACGCAGGCTAATATTTGCTGGAATTCAACGGAACACAATTAAATAGCACATTTTGATTTTTGATGATACACATAAATCCGCAGAAATCAGAGAAGACTTAGCAAGCTTTCGCGGTTTTATTGCAAAACTATAATGAGGCGAATGATAATAATTTTGAAACGTGGATGTAAAAATACAGTGTAGAAAATAAAAACATTTTATCYAAACAAACGTTCGAGAATTAATCATGAGTTTATAAGTCAACAGATACAGAAAGATGTCTGGGATTACAGCTAAACTAGAGCTCTAAGGACCGCTCCATGTCGTGGATAAAAATTCCTTTTCCGAATCTTTCGGATGGATATGTTTACTGTAGGCAGGGAAAAAGGGCGCCCCGCGTCAGGCCCCCGCCACGGGAGGAATGATCAACCATCACAATAGGTTCCTTGGCCCCTGGGAATCGCCGCCTGTTGTGTAATTGGCAACGCAATGGTTGATCGCCACGTGATGCTTCCAGTTCCTTGCAGCGTATATAGATAATTCAGAAAACGTTATATATTGAAGATAGTGTATTCGAAGTTTACTAAATCTCTTATTACATGCAGACCTCGACTGCCTATTTTTTGATCATCTTGGGGAACTACTGTGCGAACAATTAAACTAAATATTCCCTCATCACAGGTAACCCAATAGATAGATGTTTC